TGCAGAGACCAAACCGGACCAATCTGCAGCCTGCCTGATGCTGACGTTATGCATACTCCTAGAATGAGAAGTGAGGTTGGAGACCCCACAAACTTCCTGAAGGTAGGTGAGTGGGTCAACAAGACAGAAAAGAACAGAATCCAGGCTTGGAGAATGTGGGGATTGCTTAGCTCCTTGAGGCTCAGAGAAGGCACTTGCCTAAGATCACACAGCCTGCCAATGGTGGAGACACAACTAGAACCCTTGGCTCCTGATGCCCTGAAAGGAACTAGCTAGAGAGAGGTCATGACAGGTGAGTCCAAGGAGAAAGTACAGCACAGAGGTTCAGCACTGATTATCCTGGCTGCACTATGGGCCGGGTTCTAGTTTTTTGAGACAGGGTTTCTCTGTGTAGCCCTGGCTGTTCTGAAACTCACTCTGTAGACCTGGCTGACCTCAAACTCAAAGATTTGCCTGCCTCTGCATCCTGAGTGCTGGGGCTAAAGGTGTGCACCACCAATGCCCAGCACTTCCTTGGTTTTCAACAGGGATCAACAATTTATATTTACAAAACACCCTCTGTTAGTCAGAGCTGGGTCTGTGTTAGCTCTTTACATTTTTATCTGGGTCTAGGAGCTACAATGAACTGGGTGGTACTTGGACCATTCAATAGGACTGACTCTGGCTCTGCCAAGCTTCTGGACTTTCAGGAAAGACTTGGTTCTGGGATGGTATGTGGGTGACAGAGAAGGGGATTGCTCATCAGGTCAATTTTTTTTTTTTGAGGGAGAGGGTCTCACAATGTACCTGGCTGTCCTGGAATGCAGTATGTAGACCAGGCTAGTTTCCCTGCCTCTGCTTTCTGCATGCTGGATTAAAGGCATGTGCCATCATTCCTGGGTGCTCATCAAGTATAAAGAAAAGGATGGTGGAAGCCGGGCGGTGGTGGTGCACGCCTTTAATCCCAGCACTTGGGAGGCAGAGGCAGGCAGATTTCTGAGTTCGAAGCCAGCCTGGTCTACAGAGTGAGTTCCAGGACAGCCAGGGCTATACAGAGAAACCCTGTCTCAACCAAACCAAACTAAACCAAACCAAACCAAACCAAACCAACAAAAAAGAAAGAAAGAAAGAAAGAAAGAAAGAAAGGAAGAAAAGAAAAGAAAAGAAAAGAAAAGAAAAGAAAAGAAAAGAAAAGAAAAGAAAAGGGTGATGTCATGAACCTGTGGGGAGACAACTATGCCCTGAAGGTCTCTCTCCAAAGACATCACACTGAATATCTCTGCCACTTTCTGTTGGTGATGGGCTTTGGTAATGCCTAGATCTAACCCAGGCTCTGGAACATAATAGGGAAGCAACTACCAATGAGTCACATTCCCAGCCAGTTTTTTTATATTCAGAGCTAGAGTTTCACAATGTATCTGACTGACTTTGAACTGAAAGTGGTCCTCCTGCCTTGGCCTCCTGAATGCTGTGACTACAGATGCATGCTGCCATGCTAGCTCAGCTGTGACACTTACTGTGGCGCCTACGATGATGACAGGGTTAGATGAACTTAAGTGAACTTCACTTTGCACTCCCATCCTTCCTGTCTCTGCGCTCCTCTCACTCCTCACATAAGGGAAAAGTCTACTGCTGAGAACTCAGACCCAGAGCAACATCACTTCCCTGGACAGTGACCTGGAGCTGACCTGATGACTCTTCTGTGGAAAACTGCTGTTTCTCACCTCCCTGGGAGATTTCTGAGAATAGCAACCAATCAACTGTCTAGTGATGAACAGCAGACCTAGAAATTGGTTAAATCTACTGAATTTCTGACAATTTAGTACCAGTTGGTCAGGAAGGATCCAGGGGGAAGCGGTTAGGGAGGAGAGCTCACTGACGTCACTCCTTGCACACCACTCGAGGTATGAGGCCGCCCTTTCTTGGTGACAAGGTTGTTGCTTCCATGGCTCTCTTATAAAACCCATGCATTACTTTCTTTTTTCCCTTGAAACAGCATCTTACTATGTAGCTCAGGCTAGCCCGGAACTCACTAGCTTTAAACTGGTAGCCATCCAACTTCCTCTGGCTCATATATTCCACCTTTAACCCAAACACCCCACCCCCCACATTTCAACTGGGAGAGTCAGCTAGGAGAGTGATATGGGCATTTTTATTAGACTCCCCATGGTTGAGGCACTCAAAGAGAGAAGAGTACGAAACTCAGCACAGCCGTTATATTCACAATCCAGAGCCCATGTTGGTCCAATAAGGGTGTCCTGGTGGTTTGGGTCAGCACTAAGCTCAAAGCTCCTAGGCACTCACTCGTTTGATTCCTCCTGAGACTGAGTGTGATGTGTCATGTCCTGGAATGGTGAGTGTGAAGCCTGGAATTTTCCAAATTGCTCCAGCTCAATCTACACATTTGTCAGTAAGATCATTACAAAGGATGTGGCCAAGAGGAGGTTTTCCCTTGGCACAGTGAGACGCAGTGGTGAGGCTGCTTCACTGTTTATGTATGAGTGTTCTGTGTTCATGTTCAGTGCATGTCAGAAGAGGGCATCAGATCCCATTCAAAATGGTTATGAGCGGCCCTGTGGTTGCTGGAACCAAGGACGACCAGAGGTCCTTGAACTCAGGACCTCTGGAAGAGCAGCCAGTACTCTTAACTACTGAGCCATCTCTCCAGCCCCCAGAAATCTCTTTGAGTTGATTTGAGGAAGTCATTTCAGCACTCAGCAATACAGTACCACAGAGCAATGACAGACTGAACACCCAGGCTATCAACTATTGTTGAGTCAATTCTGGGGCGAAAGGCCTGTCACTGTGAGTTGTGAAGGGCATGTTCAGTGACACAGATTTATCTTGAGAACTATAGTGGTATCGTTAGAGTTGGCAAGCTGTGATGAAATAAAACCACGCCACCACAGTACTGTGAGTTAGCACCATTGCCTGTCAATGGGACCTGAAGTACTGTGCCTTTAAATATCTCTGGAGTGAGCAGGGCAATGCAAGGTGTACTGTGGCTTCCTCATCACAACATCAACTTCTGGGAAATGTCACAAGCTGGACTTGTGGTAGCCTGGGCACCAGAGGCTTAGTATATTTTTTTGTTTTTTGTTTTTTGTTTTTTTTTTTGTTTTTTTTTTTTTTCCGAGACAGGGTTTCTTTGTGTGTAGCCCTGGCTGTCCTGGAACTTACTCCATAGACCAGGCTAGCCGCGAACTCTCGAACTCAGAGATCCGCCTGCCTCTGCCTCCCAAGTGCTGGGATTAAAGGCGTGAGCCACCACCGCCCGGCGGCTTAGTATATTTTGTGTTCACAGTGCAATAATTGATAGTGTTTTCTGTTTGCTACAGTGACAGATCAGGCAGAAGTGGCGACAATCCCAGAAGAGCCAACAACAGTGGATTAAGATCAGAAGCCCCGTGCAGCCTCCTCAGAGAATGAGCATTTACTTAAGTGATATGCAACTCCTGGGTAGCGTAAAACACCATTGGAAGGGCTCTGCGAGTGAGTTCTCTATGTCACACTGTGAAACTGTATGGCTCAGATAGGACCCTGTGCCATTTTTCTTTGTTCTCACAGAAACTCACCTGCCTCTGGCTCCTGAGCAATGGGATTAAAGACATGCACCACCATGCCTAGCTATACTTATTTTTATGTTTGTGTATGTTTTGCTGCACACAAACCTGTAAAGTATATGTGCATGTCTGATGCCCTTAGAGGTCAGAACAGAGTGTATGATCCCCTGAAACTGCAGTTCTACATGGTTGTGAGCCATCATGTGGAGTCTGGGCACCGAAACCATGTCCTCTGCAAGAGCCATTAGTGTTCTTAAGAGCTGAGACAGCTTTCTGCCCCCTTTCCTCTTCCTCCTCCTCCTCTTCTTCCTCCTCCTCCTCCTCTTCCTCTTCCTCCTCCTCCTCCTCCTCCTCCTCCTCCTCCTCCTCCTCCTATTTTATGCATATGAGCACACTGTAGCTGTCCTCAGACACATCAGAAGAGGGTATCAGATCCCATTATGGATGGTTGTGACCCACCATGTGGTTACTGGGAATTGAACCTCTGGAAGAGCATTCAGTGCTCTTAACTACTGAGCCATCTCTCCAGCCCTTCTTTTAATTACTTGTTGCTCTTGCAAAGAACCTTAAAGGATTATGAGGAACACTGGTAATTTATTTGTAATCCGCTCAAAACACGAGTATATGCCATTTTCACCAGGAGGCCCTATAGTCATCTGAGAGAAGGAAATCTTGATTGAGAAAATGCACCCTTAAGATCCTGTGGGCCCTCCTGTAGAGCATTGTCTAATGAGTGATCGATGGGGGAGGGTCAAGTCTTTTTTAAGTGGTGTCAACCTTGGGCTTGTGCTCTTGGGTTCTGTAACAAAGCAGGCTGAGCAAGCCAGTAAGCAGCACCCCTCCACGGCCTCTGCATCTGCTCCTGCCTCCAGGTTCCTGCCCTGCTTGAGTTCCTGGCCTCGCTGCTTTAGATAGACATGTTATATGGATCTGTGAGGGAAATAAACCTTTTCCTCCCCTAGTTATTTTTGGTCACGGTATTAATCCCAGCAATAGTAGCCCTAACTAAGACAGCAGGCTTTACATCAGTTCTAGTTATTGGTAGAAGGTGGACAGATGACACCTAACATGCAGACAGATAGGGGTGTTCAAATAGGTAGGAAACGATCACAATCCTCTGTGTAGCCAGTCCAATCCAAAAGACTTCTGCGCCCTCGCAGAGAACTTTTTATTGCAGTGACTGTTGGGCAGATGTCATGATCCTGCCTGCTCCACCAGTGTGGAAAGACAACTCCAAGGGAATCGGGTACTTCACAGACCAAAGGGCCACTCTATACGCAGCAAGTAGAAATGGAGACTCTGAAAAGCCACACCCGAGTACTGAAGTGTTACCAGGGAGTCGGCGGTACCCACCACTAGTTCTGGCTAACATCCGAGCCTATAAGTCAGTCAAATGTTCAGCAGACACGCCCCCTTTTGAGCTAAGCGCCAGGAAGACCATGTAAACGTCACTTCCGCCGTCAGCCTATCACATACCGGGGGCGGAGCCGTAGTGGGGCGCGTCTTATTTGCGTCACTTCCGGTGAGTCCAGCAGTGACCAAGGCAACATGGCCTTGAACGGTGCAGGTGAGTGGTTAGGCTGTTTGGGCAGTGGCCGTCGGGTGCGAGAGGCAGTTCTCTCCATATCCTTGTGCCTGTTTCCTCTAGATGTCGACGATTTCACCTGGGAGCCTCCGACTGAAGCTGAGACGAAGGTGCTGCAGGCGCGACGGGAGCGGCAGGATCGCATCTCTCGTCTCATGGGCGACTATCTGCTCCGTGGTTACCGCATGCTGGGCGACACGTGCGCGGACTGCGGGGTGAGGCGAGTGATGAGGCTGAGGCCGCGGTCTAGGCCGCACGACCTTTCCTCAGCTCTTTTCTGTGGACCCTGTCTCTCAGGCTCACCTATGTCCATGTACTTTCTGGTTCCCAGACGATCCTCCTGCAAGATAAACAGCGGAAAATCTACTGCGTGGCTTGTCAGGAGCTCGACTCAGACGTGGATAAAGATAACCCGGGTGAGGGTCCGAGTATGCCCTATAGGGAGAAGAACGTGAGTCCAGTAACTGAGCCTGGGAAGTGACAGTGGAAATTCCTGCGTGCCGTGGCATTAAGGTGTTTCATTCAAGAAAAACAATCAGCCGTTTGTTTCTGACACTGTGGGAAGAGTCCGAGCTAAATAGTCATCCCCACGAATAGAGTGGATGTGCAACCCGGGTCCTTGTGCATGTTGGACAAGCACTTTACCACTGAAGTACAGGTCCCAGTTTACAGGCACAGACTTGATGCATAAATGAGGCCAGGGCAACTGTTAAGCCACTGGTACTCAAACGTAAATCGTGGGGGGGGGGGCAGTGTTTAGCAAGCATGTACATGGAGAAAGAAGAGTAAAGACGAGAGACGGATTGGCTTAGACAGAAAACACCAGAAGCACAGGGGGATCAGTAAAGAGCAAATGACTCAGGGGAGAGGTGGACCTAGCATCCTGACTATTCCAACTCTTTTCTTGTTTTAGCTTTGAATGCACAAGCAGCCCTCTCTCAAGCTCGGGAACACCAGCTGGCCTCTACTACAGAGCCTGCCTCGAGCTCTCGGCCGCCGTCCCAGCCACCAGTACCCCGTCCAGAGCACTGTGAGGGAGCTGCAGCAGGGCTCAAGGCAGCCCAGGGGCCTCCTCTTCCGGCTGCACCTCCAAATGCAGACGTGGTGGCTTCCACACAGACAGCCCTCCTGCAGAAGCTAACCTGGGCGTCAGTTGAGCTGGGCTCTAGCACTTCCTTGGAGACTAGTATCCAGCTTTGTGGGCTTATCCGGGCTTGTGCTGAGGCCCTGGGCAGCCTGAAGCAGCTGGAGCACTGAGACCTCTACCCCGATCCCTGTTCCCCTGAGAAAAACCCTCTAGAAAACCACTTTTCCCTCCGTGTGGTTTGTTCCTTTCTTGGTTCTGAGTGTGCATGCAAGCCCCAGCTCTACTCGGTGTTAATTCTTTCTTTTGGCATCTCACCTTCCCATGATCTTTTCTACCTGAATGATGAGGTTTTGCATTCAGGACAAGGAGTAATTGGCAGAGGGATTAAGTGACACCTTATTCCAAGGAGTGACCTCAGTCTCCTTAAAGGCTCGGCCAATATCATTGCCTCTGATCCAATACCCTCCTCCCCCACCTTCTGGAACTGAGTGCCATTAGAAGTTTCAGTCCCCTTGGTGGCTTCCTTTCCTTCCTTTGACCATCCTGATTCTATCATCTTATGGCCACTGGGATGTTGACAAATTGTGGGGAGGGCAATGATGCACTTTTAAGAGCCAGGCACAGTATTACCCCAGACTCCCACATCCCCATGCTTTTAGAATCGTTCCCTAGGGAGAGGAATCGTGTTGAACACGTTTGTGTAGGAATGAGGCAGCGAAGAGAGTCTCCAAAGAACTATTTCTGACCCTTTCGGCCTCACCCCTCCCATCCAGTTCTTTGATCGTCCGTGTCCGTTCCCCCCCACCCCCTCCAGGGTTGTCGCCGCGTTAAGAGAGGCCCCGCCCATGCAGGGGGGGGTGGAGCATAGGCGGAGTCGGAGGAGTCTGGGACGGAACAAAGCACGGCCTGCGGGCGGCGGCTGGGCTCTCTGGAGGCCGGGCCACGGAGAGCTGGTCCTCTGGGCAGCAGCCCGCGGAAAACGTAGAAGGGTTGCAGGCGGCATCGCGGTCCGCGCTGGCTTGGTTATGAACGGGCTGCCCTCAACTGAGGCGCCGGGTGGCGCGGGCTGCGCTCTGGCTGGGCTCCCGCCGCTACCGCGCGGCCTCAGCGGCCTTCTTAACGCTAGTGGGGGCTCGTGGAGGGAGCTGGAGCGTGTCTACAGCCAACGGAGCCGCATCCACGACGAACTGAGTCGTGCCGCCCGCGCCCCGGATGGTCCTCGCCACGCCGTGGGATCCGCCAACTCAGGCTCTGCAGCGGGCCCGCGCCGCCCGGTTAACCTCGACTCTGCACTAGCCGCGCTGCGCAAGGAGATGGTGAGTAGGTGGGTGCCCCGCCAGGGTAGTGGATCTGAAGAGAGGGCAGAGATAAGTCTAGGATCCGTTTCCTCATCTCAGGTCCAGCAGGAAGCATCTGGTCACGGGGCTTTAGGACAGCGCTGATAGTAATGTGTAGCAATTGTTGCATTTTTAAAAAACTTGCCTGATTTCATTCTGCTGGACAATGTTATCCCATTGTATGAATGAGGGCCAAGGACTGGCTGAAAGGTTGGCAAATACCATCTGTTCTCAGAACTTTCACTTAAGAAGGTGCAGGAAGATTGGATAGGGTTGTCGCCCATGGTGGGGATTCTGGGGGTGGCCTGGACCCCCAACTCCAGCCCACTGTCAGTTGTCTGCAGGTGGGGCTACGACAGCTGGATATGTCCCTGCTGTGCCAGCTGTGGGGCCTGTATGAGTCGATCCAAGACTACAAGCATCTGTGCCAAGACCTGAGCTTGTGCCAGGACCTGTCATCCTCTCTGCACTCGGACAGCTCCTACCCACCTGATGCCGGCCTGTCTGATGATGATGAGCCTCCTGATGCCAGCCTGCCCCCAGACCCACCACCCCTCACCGTGCCCCAGACTCACAATGCCCGTGACCAGTGGTTGCAGGATGCCTTCCAAATCAGCCTTTGAAAAGCTGAGGTGAATAGGAAAGCATCCATACAAAAGGCTCAAAACTTGCCCTTCAGCAAGTCCTTAGTCGACAGTGCCTGCTCTTTTACCGGTACCACCTCACCTCACTTCAGAAGGGCAAGGCATTATACCCACCAGGCAAAGCGGTCAAGATTGCAGCCTCTGCCCAGTGTACTGGGCGTCCACTTCTCCCACGTGTGCACCCTAGCTTGGCCAGCCCTTAGTCTGACCGTTGGGCCCAAAGCGTCTTGCACACCCGTTCACATCTCTGGGACTGGGATGAGTGCCTAGCTTCCATCTCTTTTTCGTCTTTTGCTGCCTCTTGCAGCTGCTGGCTCAGGGGCATCCCTACCTGTGGCCCCAGGGTTTCACTGCCTGGGACAAGGGTTCCAGAGCCCACCTCTGTAGCCATCCATGACCAGAAAGGTTAAGGTCTTTATGCTGGATATTTAAGTTTAGTGGCCAGTTCCTGGACGGGGAAATAAATAAATAAATAAATAATTAAAGCATTGCATTCTGATTGCCTGGTTAATTGATACTGACTGGGTTGGGAGTAGTTTTCTGGCAAGTGTGGTCTGCGTTCTGCCGGCAGGTGGCGCCCAAGACCCCCTAGCGAAAGGCTTAGCGGGCGCGGGATGTGAATCTTCCCTCGTGGAGCAAGGTTGGAAACATTCCAGTCCGCGGGAGCCTGGCCCTGCAGCAATATGAAGGGGGTCAAGTCTCTTCCCCTTGGGCTCTAAGTTTTGGAACCCAGCTTGCCCTTCCGCCTTGCTTTGAGCCTTCTGGGAAGGAAGGAGCCGCCCATCTTGAGAGAAACTTTCCACCTCCAGTGCTGGGCGGAGTTGGCACAGGAAATGGGTGGGCCGGAGCTGGCTGACCCAGGGGCCTATCCCCATGAATAGGGAAAGGTCCGAGAAGAGCCTTGGAGTGCGTGCCCCATAAGTTGTAGGGGCTGGTGGGAAGGAGAGGCGTGGAGGCCGAAAGGAGTAAACAAGTTTCAGTTTGTAGACAAGCCTTGGAAGGAAGGGAAATGACAGCAGGGCTCAGAGCATCGTTTCTAAAGACTCAGGGGCTCAGGCACCTCTGTTGCAGTCTCAGACCACCCAGTCCTTCTCTCCCCTCCCACCCCGCTTCAGCACGAAGGACCTGTAGGCTTGTACATACAGTGCTTCCTTACAGAGGAAGCAGAGGACCGCACCAATAGGATAGACAAAACCTGGTGTTCAGTCCACAGGAAGAAGCCTGCTCAGTCTCAAAGTTGCTCCCGAGCGTCCTCATCCCTACCCCTACCATAGTCACTTGCCTGTTGAAGATGCCGACAGGCTAGCACTCCTGAAGACCAGACATCCTAACCAAATCAGGCACTGGGCAGGGAGAGAACACACTGATGTGTTGCTCCAGGCCATCTCTAACTGGATATAAAACACCTTGCAAGGCTCATTACAGTGCGAATTGGATGGGTGAGTGATAAGGAGTCTAATCTAGGCGTTAACAGAACAGCTAACGCCCCAGGGACTTCCCAGGGGAGGAGGGAAAACACCCATGTACATATTTTCTCTAATTCTGATAACGGATTGCATTTAATGAGACATGGCAAAATCAGCCCAGCCCTAAGCTAACCGCTTTCTCAGGCTTCAAACTTCAATGATCATAAAAGATGGAACTGTAATTGGCCCCATTTAACAGACTTCAAAACTGAGGCTCAGAGTGTTAGTGTTTTGTTCACTGTGTCACTCTTTATTAAAAACTAGTGTTTGAACCTTTCACCGCTTGTGAGAAGTGAGGATTATTTTCTCTTGCACCATCTGAGAAGTCAGGTTTGGAGACACCAAGGCTGGTTCCCAGACTCTGCATTTTTCTTCTCCGGTTAAGACATGGGTGTTAACAAGAATCTTCCATCCCAGAGCTACGGACCGTTAACTCTGGCTCAGTGGATGGTTCTTTTCCTTTCTAGGTCTCTACTTTACAAGCTTGGGAAATGGGGTACCAACCAGTACCACAAGCTTGCAGGCAGGAAGGGAGACGGCCGAGGCAGCTCTTTTGGAGGGCAGCACCAAGTTGAGGGCTGTCACCTCTCGGAGCTCACACGTCCCCCCAACCCCATCCGGCTCGCGGGCGCCCACCAAACCGGCTTTGCCATCGGAATTCATTCCTCCCACCACCCCCAAAACCGGGTACCCGGGTGTCCCGGTCCGGACGCTAGGTCCCGGAAGCAGGGTCGCTCCGCCCCGCGCTGCAGCCCCGCCCGCCTTCGGACGCGGGGGTGGGGGTGGGGGTGCGGCTCCAGGAAACGGCGCGCTCTCGCAACTCGGAGCTCCGACCAGCTCGACGCGCCGCGACGGCCCCGCAGACTCAGCCAGCCCATCAGGCGGACCTCGGCGGCCACCCCAGCAAGCACAACCTAGGTCCGAACCTCAGACGTATCTACAAGGACGGGACGGACAGATCGGGCGACAAAGAAAAGAACTCCAGAGACCATGGGGACCCTGACAGAGCCAGAAGTGGTGGGCAAGCGGGAGTCCCGAGCCTGAGAAGAGATCGGGGAGAGCTTCTCGGACCATGACTTCAGTGTGGAAGCGTCTGCAGCGGGTGGGCAAGAGGGCCGCCAAGTTCCAGTTTGTGGCGTGTTACCATGAACTGGTGCTGGAGTGCACCAAGAAATGGTGAGTAGAAGCGGGGCCTGAGGGAGTCCCCTAAGACTGATGTGGGACTCAACTTAGCTTGACCCATGTGAACCTGGAAAAAAAATCCCCCCAAGTCTAACGGCTAAAGGGGTTCTCATCCTAGGTATTCCAGGCACTAAGTACTTGTGGCGGGGAAAGACTCAGAGGCTGCAGGAGAATCTATGCCTGTGCCCGAATTTAAATCAGCTGTGGCCAGGACTGAGGGAGACGCTCTCAAGCCAAGAACAGTGGTCCAGGGTGGCAGTGGGAAACAGAGCAAGTTTTTAGGTTTCCAGGTGGCTTTGGCTGGTTCTTAGTCCAGTTCACAGTGAAGATGTGGCCTTCTCTTTTTCTGCCCCTCCCCCTTCAGCCAGAATGGGTCCCAGAGGCTGGTGATGTCTCCACAATGTCCTTAAAAGGGGAAACTGAGCTTGGGGGGATGAGGAGGGAGGTGGAGAGAGACTTAAAGGGGCCTGAGGTCCTAGGAGGTGGTGGGTTCAGGAGAGGGTCTGTGGAGGGAAAGAGAGTTAGGTGAGAGGACAATATGCAAGAGAGTACAGGTCTTGTCTTGGACTGTCAAAGGGCCCTGGGGGCATC